ACAACTTCCGCACCAGCTCTGAGAGCGTCTCGCTGCGACACTTGCCCGCATAACCGCAACACGTCAAAGGTGTATTCCCTGATAGCAAAGGATATACACAATGTCCCTATATTAGATAGGAAGGTTTTTAATCAGGAGAGAAACTGACTTAGATAGTTGGTATGAGGTTCCTCTCACAAAATGAAGTTTTCCGATAGGAACATCCAAAGCCATTAACAAAGCTCTAATCACACACTCATAGTAGATTACTCGGTTTTCCAAAAGCTCCCATGTGCTTTTCATGTTGTCTAGGAAAGCGTGTAAATCCGCGAACAAAACGGTTACCTGGAAAAGGATGTCTCAAATCACTTAAAGGCATGCACAAAAGAACATCATGCGGCTCTTTCACGCGACTACAGCTGATTAAATTAAAGAAGATACTCTGTTGAAAATTTAAAAATCTATAGAGACGCGTTCAGGCAGCGCTCTGTATCACAAATGCTTGCGTTGTCAACCTTTGCTTATTTCACTTGAAATGATCGAAATTTCCGAGTGTAAAAGTTCAAAGAGATCATTTAAACGCTTAATGACTTAGCTTTCAAGGAAGTATCATACGATACAGTCTGTTCCATTGAGCCTAAGACGCGTGTACCTGTTTTGCCTGCAGCAGCACTTCAAAGATGGAAACACGCCACATGCAGCGAATCGAGCTACTCTGCATTCTATGTTTGTTTCGTATCTTTTCTGTGCATTCTCTATGTGCTCCGGTTTCCTTTCAGCACACCGTGCACAAAAAGATGAGATAGCTTCTCAGCAGAAACCCCATTGAAGTAATTAATAATGTTTCTCTTTGCAGACAAAGCAATCGCGGGTCAAACTCAAGGACAGACTATACAGGACATATCTCAAGTTAAATTAGATAATGAGTATGTGATATTTACTTCATTTAATGAGTATATCGAGATATTAACGTTCATCGGCAAAATAAACAAAAACAGTATACAATTTACCAATTATTTTGTCAATGAGCTAGACTGATATGCCTTATACTGTGGAGCGCACTAATTTAATGGAGTGAATTTCTTAAACAACCCCAACAAAATATACTTTGAAAAAAACCATATTACTTGATAAAACAAAAAAAAAACTCAATATTAAGCACAAATAAAAAAAAAGTAAACTATACCCACCTTCAGACCCGCTTTCAGAAAGTCTGCAATCTTTCTCATAGGGACAAAATAGCCAACATGAGGCCGCCC